CTTTTTACGCTTTCGTCCCAGCTTGTTTCAGTTGCCAGAATGACCGAAAAGGATGAGCATAATAAATGTTGATAAATTTCCTTCATTTTAGCTGGGCTTTTCATGCGATTGAAATTTTGACAGTAAATCAAAATTTCAGTCGCATTCTGTCTGTGTGAAGAAATTGTTGGAAATACGTCGGTTGATAAAGTATGGTCATTGTTATTATTAGTTACCTCAGTCTCATGCCGAGCATCGTTATATAGAAATAATGAGTCTTCCTCAAGGTGCGTCAGCGGCGTTGAAAATTTACAGGATTGTAAAATTTGAGGGCGGCCTCCCTAGTAGATTGTAGCCGTTGCGTGCGTTCACTGGACAGGAATGTACGGTAGGATTGCAGGTCTGCCAAGGCGTCGTTTCGAGTAATTCCAAGTTCTTCATGGACGTCCAGGAAAATTTCGTGCAGGAGATTTCTGTCTTTTGGTAGTCCTTCAGCTGCTAGCATTAGAATAGCACTGGTTTTGGTGATTCCGCGAATACATGTTGATGATGGCTGGTCATGCAGGAAGGAGAGGTAGGTCCGAACAATGTCCATAATTTTCGGGTCCCTTAGACGCGCCTTCAGGAAGCGTTGGTCGCCAGTTACGGACTGTTCAGTAAGTCTCACTATTGGCGGACGCATGGGGTCCAGAAGAGGAGGGTGTTCTCGCTCAGTTGACATACTGATTCTTTAAAACATGGCATTTTGTGCAAAGCACGACTTACCATCGACTACAAATTAAGTTTTAAACAGCATATATCGCAAAAGAATAGAACGAATTCACTTTTCGTATATTTTTTAAATGCTACGCTTAAAACTCTATTGAGATCTTATTTATGATGTAAAATAAAGGAAAAACCATTTTAAATACATCATGCCTTTGTATTCTCTGCTTGCAGGTCATGGTTTGTATCTATCAAGCGGTGCATTTTACCCCAATGTTGTGGTGCGTTTTGTCCATTGTTATCCTGCGTCTTGCCCCAACGTTTTGGTGCATTTTGCACTATGAATCAGGCGTTTTACCCGAATCAGTCAATTTAAACAATGCTGAAATTCATGAAAAATCATCTTTTTGAAGTTCGAAATCTAGAAAACATTGTAACGAAACATACTCAATTTAGTGATGGATCGCTCTTTTGGGGCTTTTTTTTATTGCTTTTTAATATAAAATGTTACGTTAAATCAAAGCAAGGTTGCAAATACTGATAAAACCAAGAGATGGCATGATGACATCTTTTACTTGTAACATACAAGAAGAGGTTACAAAGTATGCGTTTGAAACATTAAACCTATAAATTTTGCTTTCTATGAGTCACAATCAGCGATTTGCTGATCGCTGAGTGAGTGAGTGAGTGAGTGAGTGAGTGTGTGAAAAATCGCTGATTGACTCTCATGAAGTGAAATAAACAGGTTTAATATGTCAAACACATTCTTTGCAACCTCTTCTTGTATCTTACCAATTCAAAATATGATCATAGTATCTAATTATTTCATAATTAAAAAAAATATATTGTTTTAGCTGAAATGAGTATTTGCAACCTTGAATCAAAGACATCATATCAAGAAGCATGGCAACTTTGCCAGAATCCAAGCGACAGCTACAGTAGCGCTGCGCTTGAGCGAAGGAGAAATCAATGCATAGAAAAATGAGCAAATACACAAACCTTTCTTCTGAGGATGTAATCTTTACGGCAGATGACGCGATTGTACCGGTCTCATAACGGTGTACGAGAAAATGGAAGAGTTTCCAGTCTTCTTGATATGTTGTCTTCGGTTAGATCCAATTGAATGTTCAGTTAACCTATCTCAACAAAGATAATTTAGTGCTATTAATATCCCTATCAAAATTAAAAATATCCGCATCGTAGAGCCATACTCTGTATTTTCACTGAAGGTACACTCGAGAGCGCTCTGAAGTGTACCTTCAGTGAAAACACAGAGTGTGGCTCTACGGTGCGCATAGTTTGAATTTTGATAGGTAGATTAAAAGCACTAAACTATCTATTTTAAGATGGATTTAATGTAGGCATTCTATATTAAAAAGTAACGAAAAAGTTCCAAAAGAGCGATCCATCCCTGTCAATTGCTTTCTCTTTGATTTTAGCTTCCAAACACAAGCAATTGACGATTTTGCTTAAACGGTGCGTTTCACATCATCCTACCACAGACAAACAGACGTAACTCTTTGAAAAACTTGTTCTTGAAAACATAGTATCTCAAAACATATAACCTTAGTAACGACATCTCTCTGGCTTCTCGCGGAAAACAAGCTTGCTTGCTAACTCGTTAACAATATTGCATATAAGTTCTATAGAATATATAGAAACGTCAAATTGATCCGATGCCAGCGCTGCGGCGAGTAGTTCGCGGAACTGATAATATTCAAATCAACCGTTAAATGCATGAACAAAGATACACAATGAAGAGTTACGTCTGTTTGTCTGTGATACTACTCTTCTCATCACTGAAAGCGGAAAAGGTGCCTCTATGCTAGCCGCTACTGTTAGAATTTTTGTTTTCGCATCAGGTAAAACGCTCGCATAAGAAGCTTCAAACGCCAGAAGAAAGAATAGCAATTTTCAGCCAACTGATCCACTTTATTTGTCACAAAGCGCTCTCCATTAGCCTACCCTACTGGCACTATGTCATGCATTCGCTCCTGGTATTACGCAGCTTGCCTACCACCGTCTACTCAATGGAACGAACGGAACTACACCAACCGAATACAGTGAATCATGAAATAACATCAACAACAATGCGAATAAGCCACGCGAGTACTACGAGAACCTCTTTTCCCAAACATTCATTCATTCATTCATTGACTTTCTTTCCACTCCATGCCAGCTCAGCTGTGCCATGGCAACCATGGGACTCCACGTGACAATTACAAATTATAGCTACTCTGCCTCCAACCATGAAGAGACATTTCAACCAGCACTCACTCTCTGTTTACATCCTCCGTTCGAACGGTGACGTCATCACCCACCGCCATTGGGGAGACAGACAGCAGGGTTTCGATTTTCCCAGTATCAAAACAAAACGCGGATTCATGCACGTGCATCAAGGAGAAAGAGTGCGAGAGAGTTTACTCCGGGTAGGTACCAATCATCCCTCGTGAACTCGAAGCGCGCCCGATGGACCTGCCTTGAAGAAGAGCGATGCTTATGTGCGATACCTACCCACAGCAGCGGCAGAGTATGATTTTCACCGAGATCAGGCAGGGACCAGCAGTCAGGATTCATCTCGGATTCAGTTCTTGCGGAACCGTCGACGGGATTGGATTGTTCGGAATTGTGCACGGAAAGCGCCGTCAATCGCTCTGATACTGTCTAGGCTCGTTGTTGCTGAACTGCCTGAGTTCCTTCGGGCTTTTCCGCCCCATTTGGGGGAAAGAGGTGAATCTGTTTGGTGCAAAGTTTCACGCTGACGGGTGGGATCTTCTTCACCTCGAGCGGTCGTGTGGTGTGTTTAGAGAGGAGACGAGATTTTTGTGTTTGCCCACGTTCACCACCCACCACCCACAGTACTGCTGCACCGCCACGGTGCCTTCGTCGTAGTGGATCGGAATGCTTGCTTTGTTCAGTTCAGCTGCCGGGACAGCAGCAGCAGCAGCAGCAGTAGCGGTACCAGTGTCCTTGTGCTAAAACGCTCGCATATGGAATTGTGTTCGCTAGCACAATAGTGAATAGAGAGCAAGGAGCTCATTTCGGACGCATTTTTGGCGGATATTAAACGACCAACTTTCGCAGTGTGTCAGTCGGATGTTGACCGAGATCAGTTCGGTACGACCGTGTGGCTGCTGCTACGGGGCCGGAAAGCTCGGTTGATTGTGAATCGGTTGGAATTGAATTTTAGATGAGTGCGCGGGAGTTCTGCAGTTTGATAATTCTAGTTGATAGTGATTGGAGTGCTGCGGCTTTGGCAGAGCCAGGATATTTCCGCTTGGGTGGAGGTGATGGGAAATTGCTGATAAAAGGATGAGTGAGTTTAGCAACGAATGGAGAAACTCGGAAATTGGTCAATTTGTTTGAGAAACGTTCCGTACTAAATTGCATTATTATGAAAAGCTACAATGAGAAAGTTTCAAACATGTTTAAGTTGTTTTAGGCTATGGAATTTTAATTTTTATCAATAGTACAAATAGTTTCAAGCGAATTTTAAAACGAAAATTTTATGATTTTTTTTTCTTTTAGCTTATGGTTTAATAAGATTATTTTTAAGATAAACCACAAAAATGTGCTATTTAACATGCGTTCTGAACAACTATTGACCATTCAATTCAATATTTCGCCAGAAGCATTGAAAACCGACAACCCCTAATCGGAGCAAACAGCACCCAAATTCAACACCCCAGGAAAACCGGAAGTTCAAGTCGAATACTTCGGTTAGAGTATAAATCTACCATGTCATCGAATTGCGTCCCAGTTCGATCGATTTATCATACTCTATTAGTGAAGCCGGATAGCTACCCACACTCACTCGACGATGATGATGTGGAACAAGAAGAACCCTGATTACGATTCATGAGATGCCCGAAAAGTGCTAATTTAGTGATTTGTATTCCAATTGAAGCCAGTGCCTCGGCATTGGGCACGTGTTTATTAGTGAAAACAAGATTTAACGCTCTTCCTCTTCGTCGTCGTTGTCGTTTGTCTTCGTCGCCAAAGCAATAATATAATACTGACGACAGGAGGGATCCAGGATATTCAAACCAAAAAACAACTCTTGACAGCAACCCACGCAAAGCGGTGAACGGCTGATGCTGAAATCCAATACCGGTGCTGCATTCAATTGGCCACATGAATACCTCATTTTGCCATCAAACGTGCGTTTGCATATCAGGGCTTACCTGAGCGTATCCCTGGCAGTGTTGAATTTGAAGCAGTCTACATACCGGAAATGATTCAATTGAGCTTCGCTGACTGGGTTGGCTAAACAGTGCATATTCCTCGCAAAAAAAAATCCGCTAGTGGCGTGAACGATCACCGGAAGCCGTAGTGGGATGTATTGAAAAAGTGATGCAATTGATGTGTTATCGTCATTCCACACACACCAGGTGTGTGGGTGTTTAGAGGCACATAATAGAATGAAAGTGATTTTGGCAAACAGTGTCGCAGAGCCTTTTTTTCATTCAATGAATTAATAATGTCCGACGTGATGAATGAACGTGACTGATAATATCCGAATGGTGCATCAATGTGGAATATTAAAGGTTTGTTTTTGATATATGTTTTGTTTTGCATTGTACTCCGAAGCGGATATTTGCTACCATTAGTGCATGTTTTTTATCGTCACTTTTTAAAGAGAGAGATGGTGTGTGGTTAGAAATCTATTACTAGCAATACTGTGTTGGAGTGTTCAACTGTGAGGTTCTGCAATAATCAGTTTCGGCTTGGCAGTCTGGCAGTCACTCATCAGAACAAATTATTTTTGTAATTTGTCCCTACGTTTCGGCTCTGATTAGGGCCATCTTCAGGGGAAATACTAGCAATATAGAAGGTATAAGTAAAACGTGCAGTTCTAATTACACATTTTTATTAAAATTAAGGATTATAAATCATTCTCTAAAAATGTGGTTGTACGTGACACTTGCTGGACGCTTTGAAGTTTATATGAGTTTTTTTTTAAAGATAAATTTAGTCTTTTGTTTACCTCCTCGTAAACTTTTGGCACTGTCTATCTTGTTTAGTGGGTTCATTTCCCAGCAGTTTTTACAATCAGAGATTCGGGATTCAGATTTCAGATATTCTGGGATCCCGGGATAAAATCAATTATTTGAATAGATGTATTAGGTAGCGTTTTTATATCTTAACAATACATGTTTTTGGTCAACTAACTTATGAAGGTAAGCTCCAAATCCGATATTAACTGTTAATATCGTCCCTGTTTGGATGATCTGCAAAATATTTACTTAGAGTCATGTTGCTCAACTCTGATGTTGACATCAAAGCAGCTGGACATTCTTGATTGGGATTTAATCCAAGGATAGGGGTCAGGGACAAGGACAGGGGTCCCGAAGAATCATGCTCAATGTTTTGGCTCAGAAAGTACTAGACCGTCGATATCAACCTAATTGAAGCACCCTCGCAACGATAACAAATCCATGAACTCTTCATTAAACTCAAACATCAAATTTATAAGGCGAATCAAAGTAAACAAAGATTCTAGTACGATAATGGGGTAAGCTTATTACTTATTACTTGGGACCAGCGATCGAAATTGTCGCCTACTTGAGAAGAGAAACGTGTTTTTTCACCTGCTAAGAGAAATAGAAGAGAATGTGAGAAGCGAGAGAATATTATACGCTCACAGCAGTTTTCGCGAGAAAAGCAACAGCGATTTATTTTTTTCGGAGAGCATGAGCGGCAGATAAATCATTTCTTTTTCAGTGAATTCTTGATGCCGATAATGATTTTTCACTTCTTTCATATACCTGAAAATTCACTTTCCGCACGGAAACGATGATCCGAAATTAAGAACCAAAACAACAGTAAGGGCACATCCATAAGTTACGTAGAATCTGAGGAGTAATGGAGAGGAGGTTTCAACATTTGTAACGGACATAGACTGCATAAGGTATAGAAAAAAACGCCACGAAAGGAGAGGGGAAGGTCTAAAATCGGTAAGAAAATTGCATCGTCAATCGAAATAAAAAAAAATTGCCGGACTGGTTAAAATCAATGAAATGCAAACAGGTGAGACTATGTAAAATCGTTATCCCTTTCGTTCTGCCGCTGTTTAAAGGGATAACACAGTATGACGTCACACTCCGTCAACCATTTAATCAGCGGAAGAACAAAAGAGACGGCGAATTCCCAAGCCTCAACTGTTTACATCACATTGGGTTGGAACCGAACAATTTGGGGTGGTATATTTTTCGCTCTTGGTACTTTTCAGAGCCAAATGGCTGATGAAAAAGTATTTTCGTTGCTTTTGAAGAGAGAAATTTTCGGATTATGTATGAGAGAGGATAATGAATTATCGGTGAAAAAGGAGAGATGAAAATGTGAACGGTTCACAAATCACCGAAAAGTAGCTTGAGTGAGGAAATGCTTATCGTGCAGCTGAGTGAGAATTTCTATCTCTGCTTGGGACTTAAGACAATGGGCTAATTAAGTCAAGAGACAATTTAAAACGGTTACTTTCGTAATGACTGTTGAAACTATCGGTTGGAGCTTACCACCATTCTAATAATTGAATAATTGCATGTTTTGTTGCAGATCAGAATAAACGGGATTCTAGGGAAACCATTTATTTTTCCTAGGATTCAGGACTTATGGGTTTTTCCCAAATCTGCTCAGGGACTGCCTGAGAGAACCCACTAATCTTAATGGCACTTTGTCATTTCGCCGAAGGACGTTTCATCGAAGGCACAATTTAAAAAAAAATATTGGAACAAGATATTGTAAATTAAAAATCAACAGTTTTCTTCCTGTAATTGTACGAAAAATTTAAGTGTTAACACATTTTTTTTTTGTGTTGTCATGGTGAAAAGTTGATTTATCTTGCCATCTTTGTCAGGTAGCCAGAGAGACGATGACCTCACTGAAACCTTTGAGCTGTAAAGAACCTGAACGGAAAAAGAAAACTGATGTGTTGAAAGTTTGTTCATCGTGCCTCACTGAAATCTTTCCTGTAGACGAAAGCTTATATCCCACTGATAGGTACATGTGATTTTCTTCCGTGATAATTTTACAGCTGTACAGCATTTTTTGAAACAGAGTTCGATTTTCGAATTGCACTAGCAACAAATTGCTCTTTGACATCTCCGGAAATAATCAAAAGCTTTTAAATTTTGGTTAACTTTAGGTTTTTTTTTTATTAATTTATTTGATAAGGCTCAACCGAATTAACTTTACAGAGCCGAGGATTCTTGGCCACTATACAATACATCTTAAAACTAAAGTCAAACGGTACAACACAATAAACACTTTATCTTCCGCTATCCAAAAAGCCTCCTCCATCAGAACTGGAGCCGCTTCCAGTAGTTTCATTGTATGGCAAATTATTGTATGCCAACGAGGGTCAGAGCGCGTCCATTGCAGCAATGGACACAAAACGTGGTCAGCACTCACACACTCATCACGAAACGGTTGCTTTCCAAAGTCGACGACGCATCGACCGAAAGAACTGCTGATGAAGAACAATGAGGAGGACCACACAATGGTTGCTGTCGAGAAAACAGGCGATCGCGTAGCACACATCGAGAGTGGCCTGCTTTTGTCGACAGCCGAGTGAACACTGAACTTTAGGATAAATCTCATTATTTTCACTGTAAAGCCTGGTACGCAGCTGAAAAGTAATGACGTTTTTATGTGCTACCGGATAGGACACGGAATGCAAAAGAAATTACTTTTCCTCAGCATTTCTTGACCCAGTACGCAGTTCAAAAGAAATCGGTAAAGGAAAGATCGATTACATTAGTATCGTGATCGACATGAAGGTGGCGCATTCTGAAAACAATTTCACTTTCCTTGCGGAATAATGGTCTGATCAATTATTCCGTTAGGTAATGTTGGCGTTTATTGCAAAACTGATGTTTTGGATGCATTTAAACAACATAAACACTAATAAGTATTGATTTTACAATTTGACGACATCTCTCTATAATCTCAAAATTTAGCAGACTATAGCTGTCAAATTTTCTTTTGGGAAAATCCTCAAAAATTACTTTTCCGTTTTCTTTTCAGCTGCGTACTAGGCTTAATCTGGTAAAAAATTGGCAACGATCACTGACTTCAAGGTTTGATGAATGAATTTCAGCTGTTTTGCTTTTTTAAAGAACAAAATGCACACTTTTCCACGGTTCTCCTCGTGACCACACATTATGGTTTTTACTTTTCAATTCAAGCATACGCTTATATTGATGATACACAATCTGACATATCTTCAATGATGAAGCAATTGCCTATGTTGTGTGAGCAGCAGTGCTGCAAAATCTCGACAATACACGGTGATATTGACAATTCTGCTTTGGTCACTCATTTAAGCTAACAGTCACAGTCAAGGCAAGCCATGTCAATTGTCAATCATAATGCTGTCAGTGACGAACATGTGTAGATTTTTATATTAACTCAATTTGTAACGAAATTAAATGATTTGAGCAGCACTATTACATGGAGCCATTAATGTGAACAAGCATCTACGTCCTGAACTGCTTGGGTAACAATAATGTAACACAGAATGTACGAAATTACACTTTTTGTTACCAGGTGAAGCTTTGTCATTGACAAAAAATGAATGAGATTTTCAAATCTATCAGTGACTGTGTGACGAACAATTTTGTCAATATCGCGCGAAAGTCTGTCAATGGCAATGACAAATCTCAGCACTGGTGAGCAGTCTTGTAAGTGGTCACGGTAGTAGACACATTTTCTGTGATAATCGACTGCCTTTGCCTCTGACATTTGCAAAACAAGCTATCATAGTACAGTACCTAATTAAAATGTCATATGACAGGCTCTGTCAAACGACACTGTCGCCGAACACCGTCATGAATGTATGTATTTTAGTTTTTCTAATAATAAGAGCTGCTGATGTTGCGCTTGTTTGAATTCTGGAAAGCAAGCAATGATGTCTTAGTAATAACATTTCTGATCAGAAATGGTTTAGTTTACACCAGATTGAGGAATTTGAACGAAACCACACATGTCATATGATAGTTGTTTGAAGATTTTCTTTTTGCTCGACCTTTTTGCCATGTTTTTACACGTAAATTTTCCTTAGAATTAGATTACCTTGCTGCTTTTGGATTTGCGACTTATTGTTCCAATATTTTTTTTTTAAATTAAAACGTATTTTTACGTTTTAAAAAAACATAACAAATGAAAAAAGAAACATCAAATTTTCACCGATGAAATATTTTAAATCTTACAGATTATGAAACCTCTACCAAACTATCATCTGGTGAAAAAAAATAATTCAGGTACATTCACTTCCAGCGGTTACCTTTGTGATACAAACGATTTTATAAATTCACCAGAAATCAACCTTAATTATCATTAAACTTCACAATTTTACTTGGAAAATCCTCCTTTTCACAATCAATCTACTTTGTTCATAATCTTCAGCCTCTGTTTCTTTCCGTTCCAATCATCATTCATGACAGTTCTTTCCTGGACAGTTAAATTACTGCCACTTATGCTCGACCGCACAAATTACAAAGGGCGTAACCGTGACTTACTTGACAGCTGGTGGAGTCTGCCCAGTTAT